TTTCGAAATGATCGATCATATTTGATAATTTTTTCAAATAATTAATTATAATCGATTAGTTTTCTAAATTATTGATTAGAATTGATTAGTTTTTCAAATAATAGATTAGAATTGATTAATTTCTAAATATATACTAAAAATTTATAATTAAAAATATAAATTATTTAAGAATATTGACTATTATAAAGATAAAGTAGAACATGAGAGGAGATGAAGATGATAATATAATGATAGAACTTACAAAAATGTAGAATTGAGAAGTTTGAAACAAATAAAATTAAGAAAATAGAGATTTAATTGCACTTTTAATAAATTTAAGATAATACTAGTTTTGATTTTTATTTTTAAATATTTATTTTAATTATTTAAAACAGAGAAACTATAATATTAGTTTCTAAATACTGAATTTAAAGAATTAAATTTATTATTATTTAATCTTTTAATTTTAGTATTAAAAATTTAAATTATATTTTATTAAATTAAAATAATTACAATATATTTTTCTACTTTGAGAATGAACAATATAATTAAACTCAAAATTGACAATATTATAATACATTTTTAAACTCTTTTGGATTAATTTTTTTCCTAATTTTTGATAAAGTTAATTTTAATATTTAAAAGTATTTAACATTTTGAATTCTGAAAGGTTTTCTCTAATAGCAAATTTAAAAACATAATATTCAAAAAAATAGTTAATGTAAGTTTTCATTATGATATAATAGCGGTTCCACGTTAACCGCTATCTAAAGTATATTTTAGATAGCGGTTAAGGGTTAACCGCTATTAGAAGTGTCCTTTTAATAGTAGTTCCAAGTGGAATCGCTATCATATACAACCAGATTTTTTGATTCTGATCGATTAGATTTTCAAAATGATCGATCATATTTGATAATTTTTTTAAATAATTAATTATAATCGATTAGTTTTCTAAATTATTGATTAGAATTTATTAGTTTTTCAAATAATAGATTAGAATTGATTAATTTCTGAAATATATACTAAAAAATTATAATTAAAAATATAAATTATTTAAGAATATTGACTATTATAAAGATAAAGTAGAACATGTGAGGAGATGATGATGATAATATAATGATAGAACTTACAAAAATGTAGAATTGATAAGTTTGAAACAAATAAAATTAAGAAAATAGAGATTTAATTACACTTTTAATAAATTTAAGATAATACTAGTTTTGATTTTTATTTTTAAATATTTATTTTAATTATTTAAAACAGAGAAACTATAATTTTAGTTTCTAACTACTGAATTTAAAGAATTAAATTTATTATTATTTAATCTTTTAATTTTAGTATTAAAAATTTAAATTATATTTTATTAAATTAAAATAATTACAATATATTTTTCTACTTTGAGAATGAACAATATAATTAAACTCAAAATTGACAATATTATAATACATTTTTGAACTCTTTTGGATTAATTTATTTTTCCTAATTTTTGATAAAGTTAATTTTAATATTTAAAAGTATTTAACATTTTGAATTCTGAAAGGTTTTCTCTAATAGCAAATTTAAAAACATAATATTCAAAAAAATAGTTAATATAAGTTTTCATTATGATAGATTATAATTAGAAATGATCGATCATAATTGAGAAGATATAATAGCGGTTCTACGTTAACCGCTATTAGAAGTGTCCTTTTAATAGTGGTTCCAGTGGAACCATTATCATATACAACCAGATTTTAAGATTGTGAAGTCTCGGGTTGTATTTCGCTTGAGCGACACTATACTCGCTCGAGCGACATCCGATTCAAACATGAGGTCACTCATGTTACATTATCCGGCTAACTTTGATCAACGGTTAGCAGGTCAACATTCGCTCAAGCGAAAATAACATCGCTTGAGCGACGCTAACTGCACAAAATTGGCATTCTCGGGTTGTATTTCGCTTGAGCGACATGGTCTCGCTCGAGCGACACCACCTGCACAAAATTGACATTCTCGGGTTGTTTTTCGCTTGAGCGACACTGATCTCGCTCGAACGACATCCACATTTTTTGATTATGATCGATTACATTTTCAAATGATCGATCATATTTGAAAATATATAATTACGGTTAATATTTAACCGCTATTAGAAGTGCTATATAATAGCGGTTAAGATTTAACTTCTATTAGAAGTGATATTATAATAGCGGTTAAGATTTAACCGCTATCATATACTACCACATTTTTCACTTTCGTATCTCGCGCCACTTATCCCCAAATAACCCTAACTCTCGCGCCTCACTCACCCATTCCTCTTAACCTTGGCCAGTATCTCCTCCTCACTCCCGACGAGCCCTAGCCCCCTCACTGCTCTCCCCAAGTCAGCCATCACCCTAATCCAACCTCCACCAAAGCTCCTCGTCAACCGGACGCCACCCTGTGAGCCACCGCGCCACACCTCTGTTCTTAACCTCCTCCGCAGCCTCTGACACCCTCAACCAAGGTTTGGCTTGTTTGAATGTATATACTGTTATTCTCTTGCATTGTGAATAATATAGGAGAGATAATTTTGACAGAATTTCTTTATCGTTTGTTGTAGGTGGATTTGTGAAGTAGATAGGTTCTTCGATCCCTCTTATTGCGGATTTGGTGGTGCTTGACAAACCAATTTGGGAACTTGTTGAGACTGTACGCCCTCAGGTTAACCATTTGTAATTTGTTTTAATTATCTATTGGATCTTAGTGAAAAGAAATTTCATAATTATTGGGTTTACTTATACAATTATTTGGTGGTCTGTATCATACGTACTGCATAAGTAGTGGATAAATACCTTGGAAAAAATGTATTAGAAAAACATAAGTACTGCATCACATGAAGTGAATAATGCAGTTTCACTTATGCTGATTGTTGTAGTTAATTTGCAAGAATAGAAAAACATAAGTAGTGCATCACATAAAGTGAATAATGCAGTTTCACTTATGCTGATTGTTGTAGTTAATTTGCAAGAATAGAAAAACATAAGTAGTGCATCACATAAAGTGAATAATGCAGTTTCACTTATGCTGATTGTTGTAGTTAATTTGCAAGAATAGAAAAACATAAGTAGTGCATCACATAAAGTGAATAATGCAGTTTCACTTATGCTAATTATAATTCTTTAATATGAAATTTCTTAATAATATCAATCCCACAATATGTTTCAACACAGGTTTATACCAGCAAATGGTCCTCCTGCTATAATCTCTAGAATCATCAAACAAAAATTTGATGAACCAAGTCCCACTTGGAGAAAGGTTTCACTTGAGCTTCGAGATAGATGGTTTGGAGAGTTCAAGGTAATTTGAATTATAGTTACATTAAACAATGTCATTTCATTCTTATAAATTAAATGTTTGTTGTGTATTTTATTTATGCGTAAAGAGTATATATGGGATGTGGAACAAGAGCAAGCCATAAGATCTGTTTTTGATAAGAAAGGTTCTCGAATTTTAAAAAACTCAATGAACAAAGTTAGGAATGGTAAGGATACGGGAATCTGGATACCGCCAGCTGTTCGAGCATATTAAGACTTTGAATCTTGATTAGTTGTTAAGTTCTTAAGTTTCATTTGTGTTATGTTTGGATGAATTAAGCAGGTACAAATTTTGTAAAATTGGATATACAAAATTTGACTTTAGTTCTTAAGTTTTCATTTGTGTTATGTTTGGATGAATTAAGCAGGTACAAATTTTGTCAAATTGGATATACAAAATTTTAAACGAAAATTTTCAGATTTGGTTAGATTAGTGACCAAATTTTTGGTTGCTACAAATTTATTATAATATACAATTCAAATTTAGCGACCGATTTAAATTATTAGTTAAATAATTCAATTAATATATTAGTGACCGATTATATCCGTCGCTATTATTGTTAACTTTATCTCCAATTTAGCGATCGATTTTAATTTTTATTTAAATAATTTTATTAATATATTAGCGACCGAATATATCGGTCGCTATTTTTTAAAACTTTACCACGGATTTAGCGACCGATTTAGCGATCGATTTATTATATTAATTTCGGTCGCTATTTTGGTCTTCAATGAATAAGTGACCAAATTATTTAGCGACCACTTTAGCGACCACCTCATTGGTCGCTATTTAGCGACCACCTCATTGGTCGCTATTTAGCGACCGGAATGTAAATCGGTCGCTAACAAATTAACGACTTGCCCTTTTGCGACCAACCATTTCGGTCGCTAACAGAATAGCGACCGAATTTTGGCCATTAGCGACCGATTTTTTTGGTCGCTAATAGCGTTTTTTCTTGTAGTGTGTTGATATTTTTTATTAGTATTAAAATTATATTAGAAGAATACTAAAAATACAGTGAAAACTTGTATATACTACCACAAAACAATAGGAATTTGTACATAATGATTATATATATCATTATTTAGGACAAGACGTTAAAATAATTAAGAATTTCATAATTTTCAGCTGAAAAATATATAAATGATGATTGTAAAGTAACTTTTGTCCAATATTATCTAAGAGAGAAATAATAGATTGGATAAACTTTGATTTAGTGAATACAATGATTGGATAAACTAACAGGCGAAACAATATTAGGATGGGTAATTAAGCACTTTTTTTCTTGTGGTGTTGTGGTGACGTGATTTCAGCCCTTCAACAAACACATGCATGTAGACAATTAACGAAACATAATTATAAAGTTAGGAGCGGGGATTGTCCATTAACGGATTAATTCCCTGTAGTTTTGCGTGCAGAGACTGAAAACTATGTTCGACAAACTCTTACGTTGGCAGGTTCTTAGCTTCTAATGTAGCATAAGGTGGCAATCTCGATCACTTATAAAGTAGAGTGAAACCCACCTATATATTGCTTATACATTCAGTTACTTAACTATACTTTATATGAGGTAAACACATTTGAGATATTAGAGTATCTCAAAAACAATTCAGGTGTGATATTTCACACGTTAACACAGTGTGATTTATGGTTGTTATATTCTTAATAATATAATAACCTAATCAAAGTCAGCAAGCACATTTGCACCTAAATGGTCGAGAGTTCATACTTTCAGTAGTGTTGGATCTTTTGGTATTTGTGAAAGAATAACTGGAAATGGCGAGGTCCTAACTCTTATAGGCTTTATGTGTGTTATGGCTTCTGAGAAATGGAAAGTGTGAGTGTGTGAGATGACCAACTGAGTTCGATCTTGCATCACCTTGCTTCTTCGTACGTTTGTCCTATCCAGTTATGCTTCTCATTCCTCATAAACCACATGCATGACCATGACGTGACACTGCACCAGCTGCTTCCATTTCCACAGATTCAACTTTCGGTTGCTCCCACTAATACCCAAATTCAATCAATATTTACATTCTCTCCGTTTAGCACGTGAACTGCGAGCAAGTCACTGCAACGTTCCAGGACTTGCATTCCAAAATTTTGCATTGCTATTCTTGTGACCATACAAGGTGGTTTCAAAAGCTTCATCGCTTTCCCACCAAACTATGGCTATTAAGGACAGTTTAACTCTGCTTATAGTGAAACACCTATCAAGATTAAAATCACAATACTTTGCCATATTCCATCTATATATCTCCAATATAGTGCCATTAAACCAGCCACCATTATTAATTGTTAAGGTATTTTCAAAGAGATTAATATATGGAGATTTTTACAGAATATAAAATCACTTCCAACCTAAAATCTTAAAGATTATATTTATTGGTGTTTCTTATTTATAATTTACTTAGCTTTTCTTATTTCTATTATTCAATCTGAAATTTCAACTCAAATCTGTATTCTGAACGTTAATCACCCTATTTTAGTACATAAAAAATATAGAAGAATAAATTTCTTTGCAGATGGTAAACATAGCCCTGTCCCTGTTGAGGAATAAGAGAGCTGAAACAATTAGGCAAGGACATGAGTTGGGAATCTTCCGTAGGATATATAGTTCCACCACTTTTGCTATTTCATTTTCAGAAAGAATATGGACAACTATATCTGATTCACCGGATAGCTTTGTCTTGCACCACGTCAAATTTAGTTAGTACAAAGTTTTTAGAAAATAAATAATTTTTTTCCAGAAATTAAAATTATCTTTTATATCAATTTAAAAATATTTCTCAAAAATATGATTTTTTCTAAATTAATATATACTAAATTAATTATAGTTTACATTGAAATCAAGTTTTTAGAATATTATTTTTTAAAATACTCATATTAATCGGACTAGATCTACTCCTTTAACAATGTGAGAATAAAAAATAAATAAATATATATATATATATATATATATATAATCAGTGTAAAAATTATATTTTATTTATATAAAAATATTATTTGTTGTGTTTAGTAGCATTAAATTAAAATTTAATTATAATACTATTTTTATTTGTAGATTTATATATAATTAATCACATTGAATCAATATTTTATTATAATAATTAAATTAAATTTTCAAGTTAAAAATTACATTTAGAAACTACAAAATATACACCTTATAAAATCTTACCATTAAAACAAGACGTATTGAATTTAAAAAATATATAATATAACATAACATGAATAAGAACACATCTTATAATACTTCTATATTAAAAATATTGGATTTGAATCCTGATCTCAATTATTAATCGTATATTTAATTATTATTAATATAAAAAGTAAAAAAATAAAATAAAAATAAGTATAAAATATTAATATATTATTATAAAAATTATATACATTCAAATTTTCAATCAACAACAACAATAATATTATGATACAGTAGTAGTTTGTTAAAGAAAACGCAAATTTAGAAACCCTTGTGGTTTTTAAAGAAATTAAAAGTTGTGTTATGAAGGAGGCCTAACTAGAGTACACGTGTGGTGCTATGGTTGAAAAGAACCTAACGAAACATGCATTGTGAAATGGACACATAGTTAGTGTACGCGGAAACAACTGAATTAGACCAAGATTCATTCCATTCCAAGTTTAATTTGAATTCTCTTTCTCTTCCTCTTTCTCATGGACCAGTGACTAGGCCATTTTTCTATGTTCCTCTCTCCAACTCAGAAAAATAAAGAAAGGGAAAAGTTGATAGCAACGGAAAGTGATTAGTCGCATCAGAAAGGTCGAATTTAAGGAGAATGAATGTTGACAGATAAACCTTCCCGCCTTAAGCTCCAAACCATAGCATGTGGCATCGCTTTAATTAGTGACAGTGTCTTTCAGCTACGCAAGTCAAAAAGTTTGATATGATATGCTTAATGTATGGCCCAACCATAACACTTGACATTTTCTTCTACTTTTTCTCAAATGCTATCTGATATGAATTTTCTTCATCACTACTAAAATATTCCACGTTCGATCCCTCTGCATCTTCTCCTTAAGAAATTGGTTTAGGGTTTTCGAGATTTTTGTTTATGATTTCATGTTTTGTCTCTGAGTCAAGGATTTTGTTTAATGTTGAAATGCCATGTGTGAGATATATAATGCAATCAATCTTGCAAACAGGTTTTGGAAAGTAAGCAGAAAAAAGAAACGCCCTGCTGTTGTCTCTATCTGTTTTATATCGTTCTTTTCTTCAAACAAGGACATTTGTTTTCCCCAGATATTATGCTCAATCTGCATAATTATTAAATTATCCGAAGGTAAAATATTAGATTAGTTCATAGTAATAAATATTGACTATGCCAATTCGGCCATTTTATAGGAATTTATGACCCACATACACCATCACAAACAAAAATCTTTTTCCTCAACAAGTGCACATAAAAAAAGTTATATAAAGCTAAAATATTTATCGACCAAGTTCATAAAATTAAACTTTTTTTATTTCTCATCAATCTTACTTTACTGAATAATTAATTAACTTTTTAGGCCTGTTTCTTTTATATTTATATTGTCTCTATTTCTTTCGTTAAAATATTATAGAAGTAATATATATTTTTTAATTGAAAATGAATTTTGTCTTTATAACTACCTCATGTTATTATTTTTTATTTTTTTTTAAATAATTAAAAAATTAATTTATTTTTATTTATTTTATAAATTTTAAAATCAAGAAATAAAATATAATATTGTTATAAATATTTATGAAATAAGAAATTATGTATCTGATTTTCATAACCATTCTTCATTTTAAAAAAAGGAAATTATTTTTTAAATATAATTTCTATTTTATAATTCTAATGTCATTATGTATTATAGAAAAAAAAACAATTAAAAAACAATTTTTAAATAGTTTATTAAAGTAAATAAATAAGAGATATAAGATTCAACAATAGTAATATTTTTTTTGTATTTCAAAATAAATAAATAACAATATTATGAACAACAATAGGCGATGTGAGACTTTCAACACACCCCCTCCAACGAAGTCTGCCGGACCAGGTAAATGGTACTTTTGACCCAAGTAAAGGACAACTTTTGGTCCATGACAATAACCGGAAAGATGTTAGGCTTTGACTCTGATACTATGTTAAGGTTCTAACATAAAATCAATTGACAATATGTGGATTAGTCTAACATGTATTTAAATCATACTAAATGACATAAGGTAGGCGATGTGAGATTTTTAACGAGTTACTATAAATAATTTTTTTATAGTACGTCAAACTCTAACTCTAATTCGAACCTATTTTATATGGTGGTTGAGGTTTTTCTAACTCACTATTAGTAGATAGATCAATAAAAAAAATATTTTAGAAACAAAATATAGGTTGATTATGGATCACATAAAAAGATATAATGTTGACAAAAAAATCCATAATGAAAACAATATATGTACTGAACTACTAATCAAATCCTAACACTACAAGAAAATCGCGTATTACCGACGGATATTTACCGACGGAATTGTAGCCGTCGGAAAATAATCATTACCGACGGAAATTACCGACGGATATAAAATATTTGTGAAATTTGATGTTACCGACGGATATATCCGTCGGTAAAATAATAATTAGTTATCGACGGATATATCCGTCGATAAATCCGTCGGTAATTTATAGATGAATTTACCGACGAATATATCCGTCGGTAAATCCGTCGATAAATTAACAAGTAATTATCGACGGATATATCCGTCGGTAAATTCATATGTTAATTAAAAATTATTTACCGACGGATAAATCCGTCGGTAAAATTATATAATATAATTTAATTATTCACTAATTAAAAAATAAAATATTTTTTATTTAATAATTTAATTTAATCATAATTAGATTAATTTATAATAATTTATTAAATTAAGTAATTTTAAAAATAAATATTTAATTATATATAAATATATATATATATATATATATAAATATATAAAAATATAAAAATATAAAAATATAAAAATATATAAAAATATAAAAATATATAAATATAAAATATAAAAATATATAAATATATATAAATATAAATATAAAATATAAAATATAAAATATAAAAATATAAAAATATAAAAATATATAAATATATAAATATATAAATATATAAATATATAAATATATAAATATATAAATATATAAATATATAAATATATAAATATATAAATATATAAATATATAAATATATAAATATATATATAAATATATAAATATATATATATAAATATATAAATATATATATATAAATATAAAAATATATATAAATATATATAAATATATATAAATATATATAAATATATATAAATATATAAAAAATATATATATATATATATATATATATAAATATATATAAATATATATAAATGTATATAAATATATATAAATATATATAAATATATATAAATATATATAAATATATATAAATATATATAAATGTATATAAATATATATAAATATATAAAAATATATAAAAATATATAAAAAAAATATATAAATATATATAAATCTATATAAATATATATAAATATATAAAAATATATAAAAATATATAAAAATATATAAAAATATATAAAAATATATATATATATATATATATATAAATATATATAAATATATATATATATATATATATAAATGTATAAAAATATATATAAATATATATAAATATATATAAATATATATAAATATATATAAATATATATAAATATATAAAAATATATAAAAAAATATATATAAATATATATAAATGTATATAAATATATATAAATATATATAAATGTATTTGTATATTTGTATATTTGTATATAAATATAATTTATTTGTAAATTGTTATCAAGAAATTACGGTAGCTTAGTGGTTGGAGTATCGATCTACGACTCTAAAGTAATATGGAGAAATAATTGAAATAATTAATAATAAATTATATTCTTATAAATAATGTTATAAATAAGTTAAATATTTAATAATTAATAAAATTATTACCGACGGATAAATCCGTCGGTAATTTCGTAACATATTTACTAGACGGATAAATCCGTCGGTAATATTTACCGACAAGCGAATTTCCGACGGATTTTTGGCCGTCGGAATTCCGTCGGTAATATTCATTTACCGACGGATTTTTGTTATTACCAACGGATTTTGACCGTCGGTAATTTTAATATTTCTTGTAGTGTAATAAGAAATAATAGTAATTTGTGATTACATCAAAATTGGATATCATTGTTCATGAGAAGTTGAGGCTTGTATCAAGAAATCCAACTCACCCACAACTTTGATATATAGTGTAAATATCACTATAATAGGCCCTAATTGAAAACACATCACCATTCTAAATGATTTTTTTCACTAATTTAAGTGTCATAACACCTTTTGCTTGTGTCCACTCATTTCTCATGGAGTTAAGCTTCACCGGAGTCAAATTAATACCTCGATTCGCCAGAAACACATCACACAATATTCTTAGATTTAAAAGTCTAATTTGGACACATTAACTTTGTTGTTATTGAAAGTTCTAACATTTCTTATTAATTAGTTGAAATTAACGTTTCATTCAATGCGTGAAATATATCTCCCAAGCTACGTTAAATAATAATAATAGACAAACGAAAATTTTGGACTGAGAAGAATTTTACCTAGGTTGTGTTTGTTTAAGCAATCCTTCTCTTCAGCCCAAAATGTGGTTATGATATGACTTGCACCCAAAATTTAACTCAATGATTGCAAGTTTTTAGATATATTCCAAAATAACGACATCGATTTGGAACACTTTGTAATCATAAGAAAGTGAATCCGATGGTGTAATGTGAACGAACTGAATTGTTGGTTTATAAAAGAGAGTTCTTTTAATGACCAATCTAATAAGAAAGTTTGATTTCTATTTGGGGTTATGCTTTTGTTCATTACCAACACCAACCTAACCCGTGATGATTCTTTCTCTCCCAGCATGCAAAATTAATGGAATAATAATGAATAATGGATTAGCATCGCATCAAAGTTAGAGAAAGAATGTCATGCAAGAACTTCTCTTAGAAGCATGCACACAAGTGGGGTGTGCATGTCCCTATCAAGGAATGAAGGAAATCGATACGAGAAGATTTGAAAGCATTGATAAAAAGGAGAAGGGTGTGATGTATGGGACCATAGCATAGACCCTCCCAGCTAGGTAAAGCTTTATGGTCGTTGTTGTAATGATGTCCTCATATTGTTTGTGATAATGCCAATGAATGAGTTGAAGAGGAATGAGTGATCATCTATCATTGGTCGGCTCCTCGTGGCGCACTCTTCCCAACATTTTTTGTGGATTGCTCCTCCCTCACATAAACCCCACTCATTCTCTTCATCTACCAAAGATTTGACTCCATCAATTAGTCAAGCATTCTTCCAATATCCATTTCTATTCTTTTTTTTTTTAAAAAACCACTTTTTCTTTAACCATAGTTGCATGTATTTATTTTGGAATATTAAATTTTAAAATGTGTTTATATTTCAAAGGCTTATCAATAAATTAGTATAAAGAACTCACAACAAAATAACTTAAATAATTAAATACTACTATCTATCTATCTATCTACATCAATGTTTTGAAATGTTTTAAAAGTGGGATCGGTATCTGAACTAAATTTTTAAGTTTATTTGGAGTTTTAATAAAATATTTTTTTATAATATAATAATATAATTAATATACAACAAATTCATTAATAACAACAACCTTTTTATATAAAAAAATAAAAATAATAATAATAATAATAATAATAAGTATTATTATCATAATTTATTTTACCAATATAAAATAAAAATAAATAATTATAAAAATAAGATAAAAATATAATAGAATAATTATTATTTAAAATTGAAATAATTTGTATGAGATAAAAAATTTCAAAAAATATTATGTCTTTAAGAAAAAAATCTTTTTAAAGAATTTAAAAAATTTTGATCTTTACATTTTTTTTACTATCCAAAAACTCAACTATTTTTTATTTTATTTTATTGATTTTGTGTCAATTTTTTCGATTTTATACTATATTAATTTAAAATATAATTATTTGAAAATAATATATCAATTTAAAAAAATAAAAAATATTATATCTTTTTAAAAAATATATTTTTAAAGAATTTAAAAAAATTTCATCTTTAATTTCTTTATTAAAATTAGTTCAAAAGAATACTCAACTTTGATTTATTGATTTTGTATCCATTTTTTTTCAATTTTATACCAATTTAATTAAAATTTAATTATTTAAAATTAATATATAATTTCGAAACTAATTTCCGATTGAACCAATTAATTATCGTCCACTCCACTCCGATTTTAATAACAATTATATATATATATATATATATATATATATATATATATATATTTTTTTTTCTTTTTTTTTGCTTGGTTTGTGTTGATATATAAATTTCAAATATATAACAAAATTGAACATAGGGAAAAAAGGGAAACATTTTTTACTAATTAAAAGTTGAACTGAAAAAGAAAGTAATATTAAAAAAAAAAAATGGCGAAAATATTTTTATAAACTTTGGGTACAACTGATATCTGCATATTATGAAATTACACTATATTAGAACTGAGATCATAAATTTGATGATATACATTTAATATTAAAAAAAAATTCCCAAATAATGAAATGACCTGTCCTCCATTCTTGTGTAGGATGCTTTTGGTACTGCAGTTATTCTGAACTGTGTAATAGCTGTGGCGATTTTTGAATCACAGAAAACAGGTATATATTTTTAATCAGAGAGAAAACAGAAAAGAAGCAACTGAGATGGATGTTTTGAAGAAATACCATGAAGAGTTACAGACAATGTCCATGGTGCTTCTTGAAACTCTCCATCTCCTCCTTATGTTTCTTTTCCATTTTGTCTAATTATTATTCACTCTTGTTTTTCAATTTTGAAGTATCACTGTGAATGTCCTCCCCATTCCTCTATTGGATATCTTTCATATGGCTTTTTAAGTTGTTCATGATCGCATTCGCATCTATATCACCATTTAACAAACTAACTTCATCACGAATTTGAACCATTAGTAGTGTGGGTGAGAAAATTTTATATAAACTTCATGTAGACGCCAAATGTTCCTAAAAAAAGTCTATCCTCATGTAATAGAAGAATAGTAGCTTTTCGAAAAAAAGTACTACCCTAGCAGGTAAAACTTTTCTGAAACTTGTGGTTGATGTTTTTCAATACATAAGTCAACTTAGGATTGACCTAGAATACATCATATCGATGATCGGGTTGACCAATTTCTACCGTTAATAACACATAATGTTTAGAAACGTTGTCTCAGTATTGATGCCATATATTTTATTTAATCTCATTCTGATGATTAATTATTGAAAGAGATGTTGATATTAATAAATTATATTGGAGTTCGAATTGAGTTTAACCCAATGAGATGGGAGCTAGGACACCAAAAACATGAACCCTCCATTTCAAGTTCTGAAACCAGATATTTTTGAGTCAGTACAAAGTGTCTAGGAAAATAGGTCAAAACACAAGCTTCACAAACAGAATATAATCATAATCAAACACATACATGTCATCACAATCATTTCAGAAGGTGGAGAGAAAATAATTGTGGCCTCGTGCCTTGATCAAAGTCAACGGGTAAGAGTACTTTTTGAGCATGCACAACACAAGCAAATATGAAGATGGTACAATTCTGCATAACACGGTACAGTGAATGAAGTTTGATCAGAAATCGTCCTTGATCAACTTTTTAGCGGAGGAATTTTTTTGATGCAACGTTCAGAGGCATTGGAACCACTGGATGTGACCGACCATCGGACCACCCCCTCCACCACCTTGTACGACTTAGCATGCTTTTCAATGTACTTTCTCACTTCACTTTTCTTTTTCTCATAGACTTTTTTTTTTTTACTTATCTTAATGCTCATTTCTTTCTTAATTATAATATTAATAACTTTAAATAAATAATTTAAAAGATTTTAAGGAATAATATTTAATGATAAAAAAGTCTATTTCTTAATACTGTCCCATTAAAACATCATATTAATTAATCTTGCATCCCAAACCATAATATTAAGATATTTGGAAAGTAGATATTATAAGCTAAAATATTAAACTGATTAGTTCGGCCGATGACGACTCAAATTAATATATATATATATATATATATATATATATATATATAATTTTAAAATTATGGATGCTTTTTAATATTATATATTAAAATATAAAAAAAAATCATTTTTTCATGTTATATTCTCATATTTTAGAAAAAAATGATTGAATAAGTAGATTAATGATTCATATTTTAGATTATTTAAAGAATATTTTAAACATTATTTATTAAATTTAAATTTGGTAAATTATAGTTTATTTTGTTATTTATTTTCTTTTAAAAAATTAGTTTATGATTTTTTTCTTAATTTAACTTAATTTTTTTTTCATATTTTAACATAAAAACATCATAAAACATTAAAATAACTAAATAATTTATAATAAATAAAATTAATAATTTATTTGTTTTAATTCTTCATTTTTAAAAAATATTACATATTTTTTTAATTTCTTACCTTTGAATTTCTAATATTCCATGTCTCCAACCTAAACATAAGAGAAAACTTGAAATAATTTTAATAATTTGAAATAATATTAAAAATTATTTTAATTTTTTTAAACTATGTAAATAATTAAATATACCCATGTATATTTTTCATACTAATTTTAAGATATATATTTCAAATAAAAAAATAAAAACTACACGTTAAATTAACAAATATTATAAGTAAATAAAAATTTATTAATTCAACGATGTCATGTTATGTACAAAATTAAAGTAGCAATTTTTAATTTGATGGTTAGTTTAATATGTATTAATAACACTATTTTGAAAATCAGACCAGACTCACTTGTTCAACCGATTTAATCAATAATCGATCTAGAAATAGTTTGTTGCTTTTAAATAATCAGATTTTAATTAAATTGAGATAAAACTGAAAAAATTAGTAAAAAACTATAAAAATAAAAAAATAAGCTTAATTTTTGAGTTGAAACGGTTTTAATAGAAAAAAAGAAAAAAATTTAAAGATTAAAATTTTTTTAATATAATTTTTTATGAAAAATATAATATATTTATTTTTTTCCTTATTTTTTATCTTATATTAGTTACACTAATTTCAAATGATAATTATTATATCTATTTTTATCTCATTTTAATAATTATTTATCTAACCATCTTTAATATATATTTTATTTGTAACCTTTTATTATTACTTATGATGACCAATCTTTATTATTTTATTTATAAAAAATATACTAATGAATTTATTATATTATAAAAAAAATTATTTTATTAAATTAAGTTAAATCTCATTTAAATTTCAATTAAATCTTTAAATTTGAACCATGTTTTTACTGTTCAGAATTTTAATAGATTAAATTTATACATGACACATTGCAAGTTCATTCAAATAATGAAATCCAAACACATGTACCAAGTTTGGAAAAAAATGGAAGAAAACACAACACAAAAATAGTAGCAGGAAATAAAACACTCATGACAGAAGGGCCAGAATTAGAAACCTGTATTGTGTATGGGGCTGCAGTCTCCATGTGAACCTTCAAACAATACCAAGATATTAATGGTAATTTTGTTCACAACAAAGTACAATGATGCTCAGAAAATGAGAGCAAGAAAAATGACAATATATGAGAGCAACCCGCTGAAACTTAAACATGAAACTTCACTTTATTCATGCCTCACCTTATTGAAGTGGTTGGGTGCATTATTCATCTCAGAAGTTGCAGGTGCCAAAAAGGGAGAGACATCAAAAACAAAAGCAGAGGTGTTGATTGTGAAAGCCAGCGAGCGACACGGAGAAAATTCCATGTGACAAAAGTGGAGATACTTAATTTTCTATTTTTGCGTTATTATCATTATTTTTTATTTCATTTGCACTTTCAATGGGTGGTCACATCTCCGAATAGATAGATTTCATTGGATGCAAATTTTAAAAAATTTTATAGTGAGTGTATAAATTAATATTACTTAATCTCTAATCAAAATATGATACTATTAAAATAGTTTTGCTTTATTAATCATAAAATAAATGACATCATATATATATATATATATATATATATATATATATATATATATATTCTCTACAAATTTACAAATATATAAAAAAAATAAGTTAAAAAAATATTAAAATTAAAAACATGAATTAAAAATTGAGATGGTAAAGAAAAATTGACGAAAACACTGAAATATTGGATGAGTAAAATCAGAATTCTAAGAAAAAGAAAATGAGAAAAATCAAAGAATCATATAATCAAGAAAAACAAGGAAGTTATAAAATTGAAAAACATGCCATGGGTTACAAACTTTATGATTTTATGATTTCACATAAACAGTTATAATATCATATATGCTAATAAAACTACTAGAAAGAAAAAAAAACGGTTAATAGAAAAAAATAGTTTTTTTTTATCTTTATTTTTATTATTTTTATTTTTTTCTATTTTCTTAATTGTTATAAAAAAAATAAATATAAATAGGATAAAATAAGGGAAAAAATGTGAAAATTATATTAAGAAATTTGTATTATGAAAAACGTCACGGATACCAAAAAAATTATTTAATGATGTTCTTGACAAATTGGGTCACCATTTTTATTGATTTTCTATACTAGTTTATTTTTTATCCTTGGTAAATTTACATATTCTACAATCTATATTCCGAGTAATTTACATTCTCTGCAATTTATGTTTCTAACATTTTATATTTTTCAGCAATTTACTTTTTCCAGTAATTTACATCTTAACATTTTTAGAAATTCTCCCTTTAATTTTCATCCTTTGTTTCTAGTTATTTCATTGAATTTCCATTAAAAGATTAAGTCATGTCTGAATTGATACTTAAAATCTAAGTTTACAATCAAGTTAATTCTATAAACATTTTTATTAAATTAATATCTAAAAGATCTATTATAAAATTTGACTTCATATTAGTTGTTGAGTGAAACACTAGCCAATATTACGGCAAAACACAATCTAAATTGAAAAATTACTATTTGCTAGTCTAAACAAAAGGAACTTACAAGTAACAAGTGGTTCATGTTGAATCATTTTTTTTATTAGAACTAAATTGGCATGTCTTGAACCATTTTTCATAAGAAACAAATTAACACACCCGATGAGACTTATGTGAATTATTCATCTTAAAATTGACTAGTTTTAGAGAGTGTTTGTTAACAATGCATGAGATTAAGGAGTGGTAGAACTATCATGTCAAGTCAAAACATACAGAGTTGTACAGTGATGTCTGGTACAACACGTATTAATAAAAATCAAAACAATAGAGGGCAAAACACTAGAATTAGAAGTATGGTCATAAACCCGATGATTGAAAAGAACATCCCTACTACCCAAGGGAACATAATCGAACAAAATATTCTAGTTACTCACAGTAGTTAGGGGTTTCCTATAACGCAAATGATGAGTAATCTAGTAACTACCTATGTAGGACCTCATATGAACACAAGAATGGAAAATAGATCTCTTTAGGAGGAAACAATCTAAGTGAGGCTAGTTCATTCATACAACGAAATAATCGGGTTTACCATTAGCCGAGAGATATCCTTGGGGTATGCCTCCGTGACAACCAATCTTTAATTATGGTAGAATGAATGATCAAAACCAAAATCAAACTCGATTAGGTTTTCATAGAGAATTTAGAAGGAATAATCTTGATTTTGAGAATATAAGTACTAGAATATGTAATAATTCCTTAGAAGTGATAAGACAACAAATAGAAGATAATAATCATGAAATGGTAAATTTGTTATCACAACGAATGACTACAATCCTAAACCCTTTAGTCCAAACTACAACTAATAGTTTTCAAAGGTTAGCAGAACAAATGACTAGAATCGAGGATGTGTTAGCTATTCCTTGAAGCGAGAATCTAGAGAATAATGGTTAAGGGGGAAATAATCTAAATGAAAATCGAGATTAGAATAATGAGCAAAATAATTACATGAGGAATGTTCAAATGATTAGAAGATGGTCAAAATGTTGACCAGGTGTTACAAATGTAGAAAAATGCGAGAAGAGATAATGGTTATATACAGGTAATGTGATGGATAATATGTATAATCAAATCAGCGCAAAATATATTCACATAATGGGACAATGAAATAATAAACCAAATATAGGAATTGAGCTATATAATCAACCTTATTTCATTTCACATATTCCCAATTTTGTGTTTGAAACTGAACTCCTTCGAGGATGTAAAATACCAAAATTCTCTAGTGATATTGGAGAATCCACTGTAAAACACATTGCAAAATATTAGATCAAATGTGAAAATGTCTTGATAAGTACAAATTTGAGAATGAAATATTTTCCTAGTTCTTTAACAGAAAATATTTTAACATGATTTATGACACTTCCCCCAAATTCAATCTATAATTAGACTCAATTAGAAAGAAATTTTCATGAATAGTTTTTTAGGGAAGAAGCACAAATTAGTCTAATCAATTTGATGAGTGTGAAAAGATATCATAATGAAATATTGATGATTACTTGAATCAATTTTGACATATGAAATATATATGTTTTACTAAAATACTTGAATGTGAACTTGTAAGAATGACTTCGTTAAGGTTAAAATTTAGAATTAAGAAAAATTGATCAATTTATCCTTGAGAGATATGACTCAATTGATCGATAAAGTACAAAGGATCGAACAAATTAAATGTGAAAAAAAAGATAAAAAATTTGGTAAACGCATTAAAAAGATAAAATATGGTATATTGATGCGTTGAGCAGTAAACTACTTGATATTTTTGAAGTTGGCAAGGTAAAAGATTTAAGCAAAATGAGGAAGTTAATCTCACCTAGCTTAAAGTAGGACCACCATATACTTTTAAGTTATTACAAAAAGGTAAAATATAAGATAAAATGACAAATCGAACTTATAGTTTTGATGTTTTAAAAGTTGATCAAATATTTGACATTCTGCTAAAAAATAAGCAAATAAAATTAAGTGATGATCATAAATTGTCCACTTTAAAATAGAGAAACGAAAGAAAATATTACAAGTTTCATAATATATATGACCATTGGATTAATAATTGTGTATATTTCATAATACTATTTAAGATGTTATCGTACATGGTAGACTGAAATTCGAAGAAAAATCGATGAAGGTGGACATAGAGCCTTTCAAGAATCATGTGGGATATGTCGAGACTAAACTCAATGAAATCAATGAGGGGAAGATTGATGGAAATGTTCCTGCATTCCCAAGAGATGATTTTGATGATGATTCAAGTCAACTACATTCAAGTCAACACCATTCAAGATGAATTTAAGGACAAGCTGAATTTATGACGTAGGTGACAATGTGAAACATTTCCCTACATGTCCAATATATGTTTTTGATAAAGATGATGATTCAAGAAAGTCCAAGATGATTCCTGAAGACTAGATAGAGTCTTAGAATACTGGATATGGAGGTACAAGTTGATGAAGTAATATTATGCATAAGCCTCCAAAGCACAAGTGTGATAAAATTCATAACATGATATTTTTCTCTGTCATAATTAATTATGATGCATCAGAAATGGAAAAATGATTTTCTCTATTATAATTAATTATACTGGTAATATAATTAATTATGGCAATTCAAATTTGAAAAATATATCCGTTTTAAAGAATAAAGGTTTTTGAATACATCCGATTTTCTCTATGATATTATTAATGTCCAACGCCCATTTTCTGATGTTATTTTTCTATTTAATTAAGTTTTGATGAAAAATAAAAAACACACAATTACAGAATTCGAAAATACAATTTACATTCAATCAATTTTGAGAAAAGGATTCTGAGCAAGGCAATAGAGATATTTTACACCTTTTGAGAAAACCCTCTTCTCTACGCACTACGTGCTTTCATTGTTAATCACACTTGTTCTTGGAGATTGACATTCTACGAGCTTCTACAATTTGTTGTCTCCATTACCTAGGTGTGTACTGTTCTTATTTTTATTACCTTAATCCCTAGTGTGATTCTAGGGAGGTGTTCATCCTTAGTGGGATTCTAAGGAGGTGTTTTCATCCTTTGATTTGTTCAGAGGAGGTGTTCATCCTTAGTGGGATTCTAGGGAGGTGTTCATCCTTAGTGAGTTTCTAAGGAGGTGATTGTCTTTTTAATTAGTTTACTTTTTACTGGTTCTTCTGCTGAGTTGATTGTAATTTGTAAACTGAATTTGAAAGATAGTGAATGGGGAGTCACTCTTGTGTTAAGAGTTGACTGGGAACTGGATGTAGGGTTGGCTATACCCGAACCAGTATAAATCTCTGTTGTTAGAAATGTAGGCTGAGATCAAGAGGGGGGTGAATTGATCTTTGAAATATTTTCGCAATTTACAGATTATCTATTTCAAAGATTAAGAGTTCTGACCAATTCTTGAATCAAATACAGCAAACAATCAAAGTAAAGGCAGTGACAGAATTAAAGAGAGAAAGGTTTAGAAAGATACAACCAAGATTTATACTGGTTCACCCAATCCCATGGCTACGTCCAGTTTCCAGCCAAATTCCAGCT